AAATCTAAATGATGTCCACTATTTAAAATTAAACGATAGGTTCCAATGGCTTCAACTCATGCTTTGACTCAATTCCCCATGTACACAAATCTTTCATTGTCGTTTATGATCTGGGTCATAAGGAATCCCTTTATTTTTGAACCATGCCTTACGTTTCAGGCAGTCCCTCATATAGTGTCCAACTTTCTTACAGAAATGACACTTTTCTTTAGTCTTATCCTTCTTATGGACTTGGGCAGAAGACTCGTTAATCTTCAGTGGCCTTTTGCCCTTTCCATACTTCTTGTTGGCTTTGTTCTTAACTCCAGACGAGCCCACAAGATTAACAAAATGAACTCCTTGTTTCTTCAATCTTTCCTCCTCTTGAACTAACTTAGTTTGAAGCTCAGTCATATTCCAATTATCTTTAATTGTGTTATAATTAATTTGAAATGGACTAAACTGAGGAGGTAAAGAGTTAATGACAAACTGAACAAGGAAACTTTCATCCACAGACATTCCCATGTTTCTAATTCTTGCTGCTAAATTTGACATCTCAGTCACATGTTCATACATGCTACGAGAACCATCATATTTCATGGTGGTCAGCCTACTCATTAATACCCTCGTGCGAGACTTGTCAGCGGCTTCAGACTGAGAAGTCTCTTTTTGGCTAATCTCATAAATTCCCTAGCATATTATGTGATAGGAAGTGAGGTATTGATTTCCCTCACCACTGTCATCCATAAAAATTTTAGGCTCAATCTATTCGATCTCTCCCATTCCTTATGGAAAGACCTTTCTTCATCAGTGCTGTTCTTAGTGAGATCAGCTGGTTTCTCTGTCATGAGTGCAAGGTCGAGAATTTGAACACTCAAGTAATACTCGACTTGTTCACTCCATTCATTATAATTGAACCCATTAAACTTAATAACAGATGAGGCGTGAAGAGCAGATGCTGCAAAAACAAAAATTATGCTTACTAATGCTTTGAGTTTTATACCTTATACATAATTTCAGATTCAGATATTAAAATTTATTATCATTAAAACATAAATATATATTGAAAATCTCCTTTAGGAGAAATGACAATATACGATAATTAAACTTAATTGATGCAATCTTTAATTAAATGTACTTTAGTTAGACATGTTTGTTATCTTTGGATATACTAAACACACCTAATCAAGTACATTAATTAACCATGATTATGTTCATAATTATAGGATTAACTAATCTACCTTTGGGCGATCCTTAACTATCCTATAACATATAAACTTCAAATTACTCATGTCCAATACATTATGTCAATTCATTAAAGCATCTAATGATCATGAGTAATTGAATCTTGTTTAGTTTGATATCTATGGGATAAATATTTTAATTTGGCCACTTTGGTGACTAACAAATTATACATAATATAGTTATCAAACTCTTTCTTTAAAGAAAATTATACTTTAGAAACTTATACACATTTCATGCGCGTAAACAAACATTAAGGACAAAATTGGGTTGATTTGACCCTCATTGTTAATTTTGATTGTCACCGTTAACTTTGACAGTTGACCATTAACTTTAACCATTGACTGTTAAGTTTAACGGTTATCATTAACTTTAACAGTTAACCGTTAACTTTAACCATTGACCGATTCAATCAACGGTCTGAACCGGTTTAACCCATTGACTGGTCCGGATCACCTTTTCGGATCCTAAACCTGGTTTGATTTGACCCACTTTTTAGTTCGGGTCAGCCCATTTTAACCTATTTGGGTTGACCCGTTTGACCAAAAAGGGTTGGGCTTCTTTATGGGTTATAGGTTTGGGCTTCTTTATGGGGTATTTTTTAATGGATTTGAAAAATGGGCTCACTTAATAAGGCTTTAATCATTGGGTTGGGTCAATATTTTATGGGTCAATTATTAACCCGAATTTCTAGAAAAATTAGGTAAACTTCATATTCCGAATTTCTGGAATTTTTTTTTAATTGAAAAAAAGCTTCTGGATTCTGAAAATTTGCATTTCAGAATAATTTTCCAGCCTTCCAATTTGTTAATTTCTAAACTCAAACTACTTTCTTAAATCTATTTTACCCAAACCATTCCTATTTCACAATTTCCAAAAAGCCAATTAATTTCTACATCCCATAAGAACCCTAAAAATAACTTAATGGAAAATTTATCAGTCTCTAAACCTGAAATTGCTCTAATATCACATGTAAACTTAAAAGCAAACTCATCATAAACAAAGAATCAATAATTAATTCATGTTTTTATGCCCTAAGTTGCACAAATATAAAGTTACAGGATCTTGAAACTTAATGAACTTTCACATATATCACTACAAGAAAACTGACATTTTGCAACTAATTTTTTAGCAACTAACAAGAATTAGTTGCAAAAAGGCTACATTTATCAACTAAATTGACATTAGTCGAGCAAAGAGGATTAAAATTTTGGGGCCCACATGTTCCAACATTTGGCATCTAAAGTTAATTTTTTGCGACTATTTTGACAGTCACAGAACCGGTTGCTTTAATGACTAATAAATTTAGTTGCAATTTTTTCCGAGTGATTTTTCCCTCCAAAATTTGATAATTTGCATCTAAAATATTATATTTTGCATCTACATTTTTTGTTACAAAAAACAATTTTTTGCAACTACCCCTTAGTAGCTAAATTAGTTGCGAATAATTAGGGATTTGTTAGTAACTATTATGATTAGTTATAGAAAAAAGAAATTACCAAAATATCTCATATTTGGACAGTAATTACAAGGGCCCCAAAGTATATACAGCAACTAAATTTGATTTAGTTGCCAATTTAAGTTAAAAAATTCATATTCCCCCCAAATTATTGTTCCCGCTAGACTTAAATTACAGGCAACTAACACTAATTCTTTACTAACTAAATTTTTAGTTACAAATTGACTTATTTGCAAAATAGAATTATATTTCAAAATTAAACAACTAATTAGAACCCTTACTTTTTTAAGTTATTTACACAATACCCTAACTTATATAAAGCAAGCATTTTTGTCAATTTCATATCTCTTCTCCATGCATCTTTGCAATAGCTTTTTCCCCAAATTTCCCAAACGCACAACCCAAATTTCATATCTTTTCCCCACGCATCTTCATCTCTTCTGACGCGTCTTGATCTTAATCGCTGTTGCCCGAATTTTCGAAATGCAGAACCTAACTTCATCTCTTCTCCACGCATCTTCATCTTTCAATTGATCTTCTTGGCTTCCTTCATTCATCCAATATGAGGCAGTCCCTAACCTCCTGTAAGTACAATTTTTTATTCTTTAGTTCTCTCACATGGTAACATTGAATCTGATTTCAAATTTTTAGAAGCTGATGTATTTTCGTTTATTGACATTGCATTGATTTTCGTACAATGAATAGAGACAACGAAAGCAAAGAAAACGTTTCCAAAAGCAGAGAGTTTTTACATATACAATGGCGGTCATACACATCCACAAGGAAGAGAAGAAAGAAAAAAACGAAACCGAACTGAGTCTTAACTCTTAAGTAGTGTGCTTCTATTTGTGTTCTCATCTCTTTTATTTTTTTCCTGTTTTTGTGGGTTTGAGCTGTTTTATGTTGCTATTTTGATGTTGCTTGTGTTCATGGGTTAACGTTGAGGGGATTTCTATATTATGAGAAAAGTGAAGCTTAGAAATGTGACGGAGCTTTATGATGATAGTGGTCAAGTTTTGGACCCCAAGGTACGTACTTTTTCTTTCATGTTTCTCTTATCACTTAATGAGTTCATTTCTGTGTTCAATTCTTTGATTACCTCAGTCATTTGAGCATGGTTACATAGTAAAGTTCTATTTTTTTTTTTTATTTGGTTTTTTTCTTTTAACTGTTATTCGTTTGTCTGCAAATTTTTCTTTCCGGTAATGTTTTTATTTTTTATTTTAAGGATTTGGACAATTCTGTTGTCTTTTTTCTTCTCTGGTCAAGCTTTTATGTATGGTTCAGTTATGTGTGTTGATCCATTTGTTTAGTATGAATTTGGCTGCTCAGTGAACTGAGGTAGATAGCTCTTCGTTGTTTGTTATTGTTGATGTTTTAAGTATGCCGCGGCCAATATGTTGTTGTATGTATCAATGCCTAAATTGAGAATGCCTAGTGAGCAGTTTTCAGTTCCCTCTATGTTCTTTGTCTCATTTAATGGGATGTGAATCAAATATATTTCTTTTCACTAATCCTGTACTATGTATTTGATGATACACACATTTCAAATAAACTATTTTGAAGATAATGGAAATATTCTTTCATGTAGTGTTTTAATTTTACGACACATGACATATCAAATTATGTTATTTTCATTGTTGTGCAGATTTAAAATTTTTTCTAATGGTTCATTTAAATTGCCTACAGATAGCTCTGGCACTGAAAGATAGTTCAAAGATACAAGGGCCTGCGGGTGAAACCGATCAAACGGACTGCATTACTCTGCTGACTATGGTTTTTGGTTTACTAATTTAATCTTCACTATTTGTTTTGGCATATGGTATGCGGGACTCTTTGATGTGTAGAGTCGTTGTTTGTTATGAATTTACTTTTGCTGGAGGGAGTTGATGGTGTTAGCTTTGATTAGAAAAAAATGTATTTAATGACATTGATGCATCTTTTGATGATTCCTATTTAAAATTAGTGTTTCCTTATGCGAGGGGTAGTTTCTGGATGAGCTGGTTTTGAGTTTTGTGTAATTATGGATATTGAACTAGTAACAGTAATTTTGACTTGCTAGAATTTAGCTCTAGTTGATGTCATGTTCCGAGTAACTTCAACATTCCCAAATTTAGTTATATAATTGAGTTGCCAAATCTTTTAGATGACCTTTTATCAGATGATGCTTCTCATTTTAGTACAGCTTTGTACTTCTTGCTATTTATCTCTTGTTCAGTTTTGTACCTTCCATCTTAGTAATAATTACTAATTATTGAGTTATAACTATTTCTTCTTCTTTGGTTATAATTTCTTTTTTTGCTTTCATAGTAGCGATCATGTGGCACTGAAAGAGGACATGTTAAGAGAGAGAGAGAGACATTTCCAAAGCAGTGAAATTGATATGAAAGAACAACTCAGGAATTGTAACGTGTGTGCCATCCCATGTTCATGTTGTATGCATTCCAAGCAAATGACATCTCCAATAGGAATAAACACTGATGAATTTTTTGATGCCTGTAAGAGAGAGGATGTTTGTCGGGGTTTTTCTGGTAATGTTGATATGCTGTCGCCATCTTTATGTTATGCATGCAATGGGAGGCATCATACAAGCAGTGAGACAAGCAACCTCTTTAGTGCATGCTCAAATCTAGTGCAGGGGTTGACGGATCTGATGTGGTTAAAGATCCTCCGGAGTCACAGCCTGTTGACCGTAACAAGGTATCTGATTCTGCAGAGATTGAAGTAAGTACCATTCCTATCCCTGATATTACAATATATGAACATAGTAGTTGGTGTACATTTCTCGAACATGGCACTTGGTGGAACTATTGGAATTTTTAAAATACAAGAGACCATAGGAAAAACTTTAACAGTTATGAAATTGTAGACAGTGTGTTTTTGTTTAACAAATAGTGAAGGGATCTTTAACAGGGAATGAAAACGAAAGATTTAGTTTTTACATTGATACCTGGGTGGTTTTTAACTGTGGGGTGACCTCTTGAGGTTGTCTAGATCTGTGGTTGGGATTCCTGTGTTGCAACTGCTGCCTTTTTCGTAGTGGCCAAATGGAGTATCAGGCTGGATGGCAATGGATTGATGAATATTTTTGTATAATAGGATAACATATCACTAGTTAAGTAAACTAATAAACTTAAGATTATTGACTACAGTTAGTATAATAAGCATGTATTTATTGTAATATTTATCATTATAACTGTAATCTGTAATAGAGATTCAAGCTGTAAATTGCCATTATTAAATGAAGTCGTGCATATGCCATAATGTTTTAATTGTTTTGTGATAGACCCCCTGTCAATATAGTCTATAAGTCAAGGGGCAGCACTAAGAGTAAAGGCACTAAGGGGAAAAGGGTGTGAGTGTGGATGGTTACAGCAAGGGAAAAGAATGGGTGAAGTTTGTTACAGTTTGTTACGGGATTCTCATGCATGTGGATGGGTAGAATAAAGTTGTTAGGGAAGGGTAGTATAGGAAGTAATTGGGTATAAATAGCTAGGTTGTGATAAGGGAGGTATCAAGTTGAATCATATAGGTTTGTGGGAGGTCTCTAGCTCCTCGAATTGTTGGAAGTGGACTGGAATCACTTTTCTTGCTACTGTTATTCTTTTTGTTTCAATATTAATCTTTAGTTTTATTCCTTTGAGCTTTATTTCCATACAGTTCTTGTGTGTGTGTTGGAATTGAGTTATTTGAGCAAGTGGTTCCATCAATTTGGTATCAGAGCCTGGTTGGGTAATGGTAAAGTCCAAAATGGAGAATAGAATGGAAAATGTGGAAAAGGAGATGAGGAATGTAAAGGAAGACATGGGCATAATGAAAACTGATTTGGGTAGTGTTAAGGAGTACTTAACAGAGATGAGAGAATTGATGAGACTAAGGGAAGAAAGGGAGGAAAAACGTCACCTGAAGAAAATGTCAGAGACTCCAGAAAATCAAAATTCCAGCAGGGATAAGGGAGGTGAATGAAATCAGAGTGGGAAAGATGACAAAAGGATCTGCAAGCTCGAACAACCCATTTTTGACGGGGATGATCCGTTTGGTTGGACTTTCAAGGCCGACAGATTTTTCGACATTAATTGTTACGAAGAAAAGGAGATATTGGAGGCAGCAGCCATGTGCATGGAAGGAAGAGCCCTTAACTGGTATCAATGGTTGGAATCCAGAAAACCAATCCAGGGTTGGAAGGAATTTAAGGTGGCCCTAATTGACAGGTTCAGACCATCATTTCAGTGTGCAGCCTATGAGGCATTAGTAGCACTCAGGTAGACTGCGTCAGTAACAGAATACCGTGAAGAATTTGAAGCTCACACAACTCCGTTGAAGGAAATAGGAAAAGAGATATTGATGGGAATTTTTATCAATGGTTTAAAAGAAGAAATCAGGGCTGAGTTGCGTATTATACAGGCTAAGGACTTGAGTGAAGTGATGGAGCAGGCCCATCGAGTTGAAGAAAAAAACTGGGTGTTAGAGAAAAACAGGCCCAAGTTGACTAGAGCCCAAAACAATAAATGGGAAGGTTATTCACGGTTCACACCAAGCCCAGAAAGTGGGCGACCCAATTCATGGTTCAACGCAAACAAAAACCCAGGTGAAAGCCTCCTAGCGTCAACGAGATCCAGCGACAGAAGAGAAACACCTCCATTGACGACAGCTTCAAGCTCCAGAGGCGAGAGGCGAGAACTTTCGTCGACAAACAGAAGCAGATATGTAGCTCAGAAGAGAGAAGGGACTTTGTTTTAGGTGTGACGAAAAATTTAGCCCTAACCACCGATGTAAGAGTAGATCTTTGCAGATCCTATTAGCGTGGGAAGAAGAAAATCCAGAGAAGGGAGAAATAGTTCTAGATGATGATGAAGAGCCAAATACTGAAGGTAATCCCTTGGCACTATCCATGAATTCTATTGTGGGAATCACATCTGACAAAACTCTCAAAATAAAGGGGAAGATTGAAGGAGTGGGAGTGATTGTTTTGGTTAACAGCGGGGCATCCCACAATTTTATTTCTGTCAAATTGGCGCGCAAAATGGGCTTGCAAATTGAAACAGGGAAAAAGTTTGGAGTAATGGTGGGTAACGGTGTCACGGTAAGAGGAGAAGGAGTTTGTAGGGCAGTACCACTGGAAGTTCAAGGTGTCAGGATTACACAGGATTTCTTTCCTTTCGACTTGGGAGGTGCTGATGTGGTCTTAGGGGTGACTTGGTTGAGCTCCTTGGGTGATGTCTGTGCAAACTGGAAAAACCTAACAATGAAATTCGAATGGGAAGGCAGAAGGGTTAACTTACAGGGAGACCCATCCTTAGTGAAGACGGAGGTATCTCTGAAGGCCATGTTAAAGTCACTCCAGTACTCAGGAGAAGGTTATTTAGTCGAATTCTGTTCTATGGAAGGAGAGCTAGAATCAGATTAGGAACCCACAGATCCTAGGATTGTCATTATTGGAAGGGTGTAACCAAATGTTCGACCAACCTATTGAGCTACCCCTATACCGTCAGCATGACCATGCCATAGTCCTGAAGGCAGAAGCTCGACCACCCAATATACGCCCTTATAGATATCCCTGTTTCCAGAAAAATGAAATTGAAAAAATGGTGGGAGAGATGTTGGTAGCAGGAATCATCCAGCCTAGCACTAGTCCCTTTGCCAGCCCAGTATTATTAGTTAAAAAAAAAAAAGATGGGAGCTGGAGGTTTTGTGTGGATTATAGAGCGCTCAATGAGATAACTATCCTCAATAAATTCCCCATACCCACCATCGAGGAGTTGTTGGATGAATTAGTTGGGGCTGTGTTTTTTTCAAAGATTAATCTCTGATCAGGTTACCATCAGATTCGAGTGAAGGAGGAGGATATTCACAAAACAGCTTTTCAAACTCATGACGGCCATTACGAGTTCTTAGTAATGCCATTTGGTTTAACCAACGTGCCATCAACCTTTCAAGCACTGATGAATACCATTTTTAAACCTGTTTTGAGGAAATTTGTGTTGATTTTCTTCGATGACATTTTGATTTACAGTCCTGATCTTGATTCTCATGTGTTCCATCTTGAACAGACTCTTAAAATTCTACAGGACAACCAGCTAGTAATGAACAAGAAGAAGTGTATGTTCGGTCAGCAGAAGCTGGACTACCTAAGCCACATAATTTCAGCACAGGGAGTGGAAGCTGATCCACGCAAAATTGAGGCAATGATTGAATGGCCTGTGCCGACCAACATAAAGGGGTTATGGGGTTTTTTAGGTCTCACCGGGTATTATAGGAGGTTCTTTAAGGGATATGGAAGTATTGCACAGCCACTTACTGAATTGCTAAAAAAGGATGCATTCCGTTGGGATGAGGGAGCTCAAAAGGCATTTGACAAACTCAAGGAAGTCATAACTACAGTTCCCGTACTTGCCATCCCAAATTTTACACTTCCTTTTGAAATTCACACGGACGCTTCAGGTCACAGAATGGGTGCAATCCTGGTCCAGTAGTCCAGACCTATAACGTATCTAAGCAAGGCCTTCTCACCACAAGCACAACAGAAGTCCGTATACGAGCGGGAACTAATGGCAATCATCTTGGTAGTGCATAAGTAGAGTCCATACTTATTGGGCAATCGATTCACCATTAGGACTGACCAAAGGAGTCTACAATTTCTCATAGACTAGCGAATAAAAACTCCGGAACAACAAAAATGGCTATCTAAACTAATGGGATACTCCTTCGACATTCACTACTGGTCGGGCAAAACAAACACAGTGGTAGATGCCTTATCATGGCGACGGGAAAGACCAGAATTGAGTACTATTTCAGTCATTCAATTTACAGAATACGATGAGTTAGCCACGGAAGCACACCAAGATCCCAAGTTACAACCTATCATTCAAGATGTCCTCTTTGATCCCAACAACTGCCCACACTACAGACTTAGGCAGGGGTGTCTCCTATATAAAAACAGATTTGTCCTACCAAAAAACTCCAGGTTTATAGCTAAACATTTGGCAGAATTCCATTCCAGCCCAGGTGGGGGACATTCTGGGTTTTTCAGAACATACAAACGGGTGTCCAACATTGTGTATTGGGAAGGGATAAGGCAAGATATTCAAGAGTTTGTAAAGGCTTGCACTGTCTGCCAAGTCAATAAATATTCAGCCCTCAAGCCATCTGGACTGTTACAGCCCTTACCAATTCCGGAGCAAGTTTTTGATGATTTGACGATGGATTTTATTGGTGGTTTACCACGAGCAAAAGGTTTTGATAGTATTCTTGTGGTGGTTGATCGGCTCACTAAATACGCACACTTCATCCTTTTGTCTCACCCATTTAATGCAAAAGAGGTTTCCACAATATTCATGAGGGAAATTGTTAGGCTCCATGGGTTCCCTAAGTCCATCGTGTTAGACTGAGATCGACTCTTTATGAGCCAATTTTGGCAGGAAATTTTCAGGGCAAGGACCTCTCTCAAGTTCAGTTTTGCATACCACCCCCAAACAGATGGCCAAACGGAAGTGGTCAATCGATGTGCAGAGGCCTATCTGCGATGCTTCTACAGTTCCTAGCCTAAACAGTGGCCAAATTGGCTCTCTTGGGCGAAGTTTTGGTACAACACAACTTACCATCGTTCCACAAAAGTGACACCATTTAAAGCCCTCTACGGCAGAGATCCGCCACTCCTTCTCAAGCTGACCGATTACCCTTCCTCAGTGGAAGACGTGAACCAGCAGTTGAACCACAGTAATGCCATTATTATTGAACTTAAACACCACTTGGAATCCGCTCAGGGACACATGAAAGCGCAGGCTGATAAACATCGTCGAGACATCAGTTTTACTCCAGGGGATTCGGTTTACCTAAAACTATAGCCCTACAGGTTCCGATCCTTGGCCAGGAAATTGAATGAGAAACTCAGCCCGCATTTCTATGGCCCATTCAAAGTGTTAGACAGAATTGGTCTGACTGCTTACAAACTGGATCTACCCCCTACTGCCAGTATTCATCTGGTGTTCCATGTGTCCCAACTCAAAGCCAGCATACATACCTCTGTCTCGGTCCAGCCACTTCCCCATTTTCTCACCGAAGAGATGGAACTATAGGTTCAAACCCAAGCAGTCCTGGCAACACAATCCCTACTTGATGGTACCAAAGAGGTCCTCATTCAATGGCAGGATCTGCCCCCCCTTTGAAGCTACTTGGGAGTCCTTTGACGTCATCAACACACAATTCCCTCAATTCCACCTTGAGGACAAGGTGGCTCTCCTGGGGGGAGAAGGGGGGGGGGGGGGGGGGGGGGGGGGGGTTGTTGCTATTGATATACTCCCTATCAATATAGTCTATAAGTCAAGGGGCAGCACTAAGAGTAAAGGCACTAAGGGGAAAGGGGTGTGAGTGTGGATGGTTACAGCAAGGGAAAAGAATGGGTGAAGTTTGTTACAGTTCGTTACGGGATTCTCATGCATGTGGATGGTAGAATAAAGTTGTTAGGGAAGGGTAGTATAGGAAGTAATTAGGTATAAATAGCTAGGGTGTGATAAGGGAGGTATCAAGTTGAATCATATAGGTTTTATGGGCGGTCTCCAGCTCCTCGAATTGCTGGAAGTGGACTGGAATCACTTTTCTTGCTACTGTTATTTCTTTCTGTTTCAATATTAATCTTCAGTTTTATTCCTTTGAGCTTTATTTCCATACAGTTCTTGTGTGTGTGTGTTGGAATTGAGTTATTTGAGCAGGTGGTTCCATCATTCTGCAAGCAAAATGGGAAATAAATGAGATTCTTATTACCTAGTAAAGATCAGTCTTTAAGATATTGTAATGAAAATTTAGCTATCCTGTGAAATTCATTTGACACAAACAGACTAGATTTTAGCTCTCTGGATTTGTGTGAGTCTTAGATAATATATGGAATGCAGCTTTAGTGAAAACTAGGAGCTAAGGTACAGGGATACTGAAGCTTGATGGGGTAGAATTTCGAAAACAAACCTTCTGGTGATCTTGGTTTTCACCTGGGGATACTGAAGAAAATACCACCAATAAATAAGTAGGATGGATTAGAAAAGAACTTCCTTAAAAATTGGACGGAAAGTTTAAGGATACCAACCTAATTATGTTCCGAAACAATAAAGTCTGAATCTTCTTTGAAAATTTTAGAAACTTAGGATTTCTTGTTTCTGGTAATTTAACTGTACATAGTCTGATACTTGGAGGTTGGCAACATGCATTTAGCCGCTCCACTTTCATACATGATCATTATATATTTGGTTTACTATTTTCCCCTTCATAAATGCAATGCTTTTAAATTTCAATAACTGTGTGGTTATTTTCTGCTGCCCCTGGGAACAGGTAAGAATTTGTGATATATGTGGAGATGCTGGTCAGGAGGACTTGCTTGCTATCTGTAGCACTTGCAGTGATGGAGCAGAACAGATGTATGTCCTACGAAGCTAATCTTTTCCCTTCCTATTATTTTTATTTATAAGTTTAAACTAGCACTGGTGTTCCTTTTTTATCTATTGGGGAGGGTGAAATGCCCATATTTTGTTTTCTTTGTTTCAGCTATTGCATGCGTGAAAAACTGAACAAGATTCTTGAAGGAGATTGGATGTGTGAAGAATGCATACTCAATGAAGAAAACAAAAGGGACGTGCTACAGAAATTTGAAAAAGCAGCAGCAAGAGTATCAAGTCAACCTTCCTCGAATACAGCAGCACAAAACTTTAGAAATTCTAGTGCTTTGGATGATAATAATAGTTTGAAATTGAATAGCACAGGTAAAGTTAAGTGTAGTCCTAACTTCTCCTCTAAGAGACCTTCAGGCAATTTAGAAGCTATCTCAGTGACTAAAAGAACAGTGTTTAAAAGTGTTGAACAAGAAGGAGCTTCCAAACCCTCTAGCAAAACTTGCCTGTATTCTTCATTCAATAAGGAGAATTTGAAGCAAACTCCTGAAGTGACTGCACAGGGTGACTGCTTTTCAAAATATACTATCAAAACAGGCAATAAATCACATGAAGCACGGCCAGAGTATCGAAAGTCTAATGGTAATTTTCTTATATAGCTTTGAGGCAGATATCCAACTCGACAGTGCTTGCCATCTCCAACTGATGAAGACTCGTCCTCATCAGCCTCTTCATCAGCCACAACTATTTCAAATACCACAACTAGTGACACTTGACATGTTAATGGTATTGATGGTTATTTTTTTGTTGTATAGGCAGTAGATATTTTGACATGGGGTAGAACCATCTTTTTAGGATTGTTTGCATATATATGTTAGATGGTGTACATGGGGTGGGCATTTTTTTGTTAGTTATACACAGATATATTATATGTATATGTATGAAAATATGATATTTGATTTAGTGATCAGATTTTTATATTGTGTCCATTATTTTGTTGATGTTGAATGTATAATATAGGTCAATATGAAATGCTCTAAAAAAAAAAAACACATTTTGCAGCTAATTTTTTAGTAGCAAAAGGTCATTTAGCATAATTGCATTCCGTTGAAGGCCAATATGAAATGCTCTAAAAAAACACATTCTGCAACTAATGTTTTAGTAGCAAAAAGTAATTTAGTATAATTGCGTCCATATTCAGCGTCTCAAACATAGTCGCGAAAACCTTTTGGATTTCACATTCAGCATCTAAAATGATTATAATTAACCACTAAATTTTAGTCACCAAACGATACATTCGTCCACTAATAAAATAGTCGCGAAAACTTATTGGATTCCACATTCAGCGTCTAAAATGACTATAATTAACCACTAAATTTTGATCACCAAAAGATACATTCAGCTACTAATAAAATAGTCACAAAAACCTATTGGATTCCACATTCAACGTCTAAAATGACTATAATTAACTGCTAAATTTTGGTCACCAAAAGATACATTCGGCCACTAATAAAATAGTTGCGAAAACTTATTGGATTTCACATTCAGCATCTAAAATTACTATAATTAACTGCTAAATTTTGGTCACCAAAAGATACATTCGGCCACTAATAAAATAGTCGCGAAAATCGTTTGGAATTTACATTCAATGTCTAAAAGTATTACAATTAACCACTAAATTTTGGTCACAAAAAGATACATTCGTCGACTAATAAAATAGTTACAAAAATCTTTTACGAAATTACCCTTACACCTTTGGTGTCTAATTTTTGTGGGATTCGCGACAAATTATTAGACACTAAAATGTACATTTTGCAACTAATTGATTAGTCGCTATACAATTTTACCAAATTACCCTTGAACTTTTAGCATCTAAGTTGGGGGACTAATTTGACCAGCATTTAGCGACTATTTTGCTAGTCGCAAAAAAAAAAAAACTTTGTGCGTCTAAACCAAAATTTAGGCGCGCTATGAATTTGCGACCAGCCTACTGCAACTAAGGGGCGACTACCAAATTTAGACGCTAAAAACGATTTAGCGTCTAAATGTGACTTTCTGCGTCTAATTTTGCTAGACGCAGAATACCTGTTTTCTTGTAGTGTATATAAAAGAAATACATACCTGATTCCATAGTTTGAAAATTAAAAATTGAATCTTGATTGAATCAAAAATAGGCAGTGTTTTTCTCCTTTTCTTCTCTTCTGTAATCGCAAACTCCCTTGATGGACAGAAAAAAAAATTTAGTGTACATTGGGAACAGAGAGAGGCCCACCTTTTGTATTGCAGTTATTTAATTAACTATAAACATCAGTTATTTTATTAACTGATGCAACCTTTCCATCAAAGGTTAAAGACCAATATGTCCTTCAATTAAATTAATTATTATTAAACCTTATATTATATTTAATTCACATAGATCACTTTATAAGAATTATAAATAATTCTAACAACATTTATATACAACTCTTCACATACTCCACCTTTCCATATTCATAACTCACCCTTTAATTCAATTAAAATCACCATAACCACCTCCAATTCAATGACTTGACTTCCATCATCTTTAATCTTCCAACCTTCCAATAATAATAAATAAAAAAAAAAAAAAAATGCAAGTTACAATAGATAATTAAGTCTGCCTGAATATCATGATTAGTGAATGTTATTTGTTCCGCTAATCCATTGCGTTAGCCATGAGGTCCCCATCGGCAAGAAATGAGGAGGGAGGGAAAAGAACCGAAAAAGAAAGAGATGAAGAAAACTAAGAATAGATGAAATTAAATAAAGAAGTTGAGAAGAAAGAGAGAAATGAAAATGTGAAGAGGAAAGTCAGGAAAGAAACAAGTGTTGGCTTGATTTTTCACACTAACAGCGTGAAATCTCTGCCTTGGTGTGAACAATTCCTAGTTGGCATAAAACTTCACAGTTCACACCAACTCTCGGGTTTCCCAATACGTAGTTCTGAATAACGCATCCCAAAATCTACTTTATTACACAATTTTTTCACTCGTAAATCTTAAAAGAATATTTATATTACCAAGAAAAAAAAAAAAAAAGATCAAACTTAATACTTGGATATATTGATTGATCCGACCTGATTTCATGTTTTTGGGTGTGAGATTTTGCTAATGAGAATTAGACATTGATAGGGTTAGTGATGAAGTACTGTTGGGAGGTTAGGGGTGAGGGTAAATTGTATTTAACTAAGTTAGTTATTNTACTTATTGACTTGTTTGTTATCAGTTATTATAGCAGAGTTATAGCAACATCATATTTTTCTCAAGTGCTACAATAATTTTAAGTTTCATGTTATCCGAAATGTGTTCTTAGGGTCTTTCATTCAGCAAAGGACATTCCAATTATCTCTTCTCAAAATCCATGAATGTTAATTTCTAATATACTGTTTTTTGATGGAACTACTGGATCATGACCTTTCCCTTTTTCGGTGTTGATACAGGGAGCATTGGCTGATATATTCCTAAGAGGCACTGATTTGGTCGCGGATGCTAGAGGAATGGCTTCTCTGGTATATGATTTCATTCTATTATTTTGTTAATTGTTGTTTTCATTAATTAGAATTTTCTTGCAACTGAATTTTGCCATATTTCTTCAAAATATAGACTGGCGTGCTGCCTCCCTTTGTCCCATTTGCTCAGGCATTTGCAGCTGTAATAACAGCTGCTCTGACTGGTTCTCTCTATTATGTAGCCACCTCTCCCAAAGGTAGATTCTCTCACCATCCTTTTGAGGAATGTTTGTTATTTCTATGTTAAGATCATTATTGACTTATAAAGTTGCTTAAATTCTTTCAGATCCTACATACATAGTAGCTCCAGTTTTACGATCTCACTCTGGTCGTGAAGATTTGAAAAAGCTGTTTGCAGGTTCCATCTCTTTCCCTTACATGTTCATCATTTTTCAGCAATTTCTTCCGCTTCCAGGGCACAAATATGTCTTATCTTTTGTAACAAAGTGTTGCTGGGTAAAAATGCCTTAGAGATTGCTTCGGTTTCTCGTAACTATCATTTTGTTGATCATTATGATGATTCGCTTACATGTAGCCACAACTCATACTAAGACTTGACATTGGCATAATTTAACTGTTACCTATTTCCTCTTTGAAACATAAGTATATACATTCTGACTGAAGATTTGGGAACTATTGGACAAATGTAGAAGTTCAAATCTGATTATTTTAAGAAATCACTTTGTGTCTTGTGTAAAGGATATCTGTTTTCATATACAAAATATCTAGTCTGCGGTTATAATTGATTAATACTCTGTGGTTATATTTAGTATCCAATATTCATGTCCTCATCCTTTCCTGGTGACTTTTTCAGCCTGGTACGAGAGGAGACAAATGAAAAAGATTTACTCACCTCTCTTGGAAGGATTATTGGCCCTGTACCTTGGTTTCGAATGGATTCAGGTGATTCATGAGCTTATTTTGTTGTTGAACTGCTTACCAATCTAGTTCACGAGAATGATACTGAAATTATTTATTTCTTACATTTACAGACAAATAATATTCTTGCTCCGATTATTACGCATGGTATATACTCTGCGGTAATACTAGGACATGGCCTTTGGAAGATACATGATCACCGGAGAAGACTGCATCAGAGAATACAACAGCTTGAATCAGAAGTAAAAGACTCGAATAAATTATGAAGAAGCTGTTAAAAAAAGGTGCGAGGAAATCTGTACATTACTACTAGAGCTGGTCATTTATAATGGCAAATACATCAGATGTATAAACGAACAGTATATAAGCTGAAGAAAGTTTTAGTGTCAACCCATAATAATACTAGTTGTAGATGATAAGCTTGTACTTATACGTTACTGTCTGAGTGCAATTTTGTTCATCTTTAAATTGTTGCCCTAGTTGTGGTCTTGAATTTTTTGCAACTGTTAAATAAATGTCATTATGCAATCAGCTAACAGAGCCCAGGATAAGGATACAGGAGGAGTCAATGAGCCTGGAGAGAGAGGGGGTATTTATGATTTCTGGGAATTGTTGGATTTTTGTGTGACAAAGAGAAACTTAAGGGTTCTCATTAATTTTCTTTAAAGAAATATTTAATCTTAATTCTTCTTGATAAATAAAAACATGGTAGGTTGACTAATTAACTTATTAAAATGATGATTATGAGATTTAATTCGTAGCTAATCTTGTTTTATATATTCAATCCTCCATCAAATCACATGAGGTTATCATTCACCAATTTCATGCCTTGGGAAAAAAGAAAAACGAAAAAAATGTTTGAAACAAAGAAAATGTTGAAAAAACATTTTCTAAATTTGCATTGTCTATTTTATCACAACATTTCAAATCAATAAAAATAAATAACTATATTTTAAATATTTTATTTTCTAATACTTCAGTAAGACCACTTTATAGTGATACTTTATATAAGAATAACTTCCGTATAATTATAATGCTCGAGATTATTTTCTTGTTTAATTCTAACAATGATTTCTTCTTATACGAGTTATTGCTCATTTGGATGACTGAGGAAGACATTGATATTCATTCGATAAATATAACATATTAATGTAGTGCATAATTTACCTTTATACCATTTGCACTAAGTATAATTAAGTCAAAATCATAATTTTTATAACTACACTCTCTTTATAGTAATAAAATTAATTAAATTCATAAATTTAAAATAAAATTCCTTATTTTTATTTAGAAACAAAGATATCAAAATATAATAGTCAAAACGGATTTGGTTTCCAAAATTGAATCAAGATCTTCTCCCAACTTGAACGTTATTCAAGGATTTGAATTTAGACTTGGGCTTTTATTCAAAAGTAAGAGTAACAAATAATGTTGGCCATCCATTTTATTAAGCTGATTATAAAAATTTTGACTCTTAATCATCAAACATTGAGGGTATTAATGTAAATTCCTTTTCTAAAATAATAAAAAGATATTTATCTTCTTGAAAATTGAAACCATTAAACACACTCATTCCTTTCACCTTGCGATGTGTTGGTTCATGTAAATTGGGGAAAGTTTTAACCTCAAATTTCCCCCATTTACTCTTTTAACATCGAGAACCATCCCACGACCGTCTATCACTTGGCAGAGATTCTCCCAATCCAACGGCTCATACTAAACCTTAAAATTATAAATAATTAATAACATTCCTTGCGTATCTCCATATCCACCGCCCTTTCCTTGCAGATAACAAAAAGCTTCAACACGCTAACTTCCCATTTTCATCTTGCTGACGCACGTCATCCATGTGGCCTCTCCTCATTGACTCATCTTATTATACTAAACGCGCACACGCTGCATGTTAACCCCAACTAAACTACCTTCCCCTACCCCCACGCGTGACGTTCTTAACTACTTTTTTCCGGTTTTAATCCTCTGTTTCTTGCCCGACCTGCCCTTCACCATTCTCATTCTTACACGTGTCAGTCAATCTTTTTTACGTATAGCAATGGTGGAGTATTTTATTTATTTTTTTACAAACAAATTCGTATGTGTCATATTATATTATTTCTAGATTTTAATTTGTAATTACTCTAAAAGATCTCCACCATTTGATCCAACATCAAACGGATCTGTAGGACCCACCACCAGATCCAGGTACTCACTGGCAACAAAGAAAAATAGCCCACAAAATCGACAAATCACATAAAAAATCTGGCGACTTTTAATGACAAGATAATAAAATAAATAAGAGAATCAAGTTTTCAGAAATAGAAATAATAAATTAATAAGTTAATATTATAAATACAGAATAGAGACAACGAAAGCAAAGAAAACGTTTCCAAAAGCAGAGAGTTTTTACATATACAATGGCGGTCATACACAGCCACAAGGAAGAGAAGAAGAAAAAAAAAGAAACCGAACTGAGTCTTAACTCTTAAGTAGTGTGCTTCTATTTGTGTTCTCATCTTTTTTTTTTTTTTCCTGTTTATGTGGGTTTGAGCTGTTTTATGTCGCTGTTTTGATGTTGCTTGTGTTCATGGGTTAACGTTGAGGGGATTTCTATATTATGAGAAAAGTGAAGCTTAGAAATGTGACGGAGCTTTATGATGATAGGGTCAAGTTTTGGACCCCAGGTACGTACTTTCTTTCATGTTTTCTTATCACTTAAGAGTTCATTTCTGTGTTCAATTCTTTGATTACCTCAGTCATTTGAGCATGGTTACATAGTAAAGTTCTATTTTTTTTTTTTATTTGGTTTTTCTTTTAACTGTTATTCGTTTGTCTGCAAATTTTTCTTTCCGGTAATGTTTTTATTTTTTATTTAAGGATTTGGACAATTCTGTTGTCTTTTTCTTCTCTGGTAAGCTTTATGTATGGTTCAGTTATGTGTGTTGATCCATTTGTTTAGTATGAATTTGGCTGCTCAGTGAACTGAGGTAGATAGCTCTTCGTTGTTTGTTATTGTTGATGTTTTAAGTATGCCGCGGCCAATAGTTGTTGTATGTATCAATGCCTAAATTGAGAATGCCTAGTGAGCGTTTTCAGTTCCCTCTATGTCTTTGTATTTAATGGGATGTGAATCAAATATATTCTTTTCACTAATCCTGTACTATGTATTTGATGATACACATTTCAAATAAACTATTTTGAAGATAGAAATATTCTTTCATGTAGTGTTTTAATTTTACGACATGAATATCAAATTATGTTATTTTCATTGTGTGCAGATTTAAAAATTTTTTCTAATGGTTCATTTAAATTGCCTACAGATAGCTCTGGCACTGAAAGATAGTTCAAAGATACAAGGGCCTGCGGGTGAAACCGATCAAACGGACTGCATTACTCTGCTGACTATGGTTTTGGTTTTTACTAATTTAATCTTCACTATTGTTTGGCATAAGGTATGCGGGACTTTTGAGTGTAGAGTCGTTGTTTGTTATGAATTTACTTTGCTGGGGGAGTTGATGGTGTTAGCTTTGATTAGAAAAAAATGTATTTAATGACATTGTGCATCTTTGATGATTCCTATTTAAAATTAGTGTTTCCTTATGCGAGGGGTAGTTTCTGGATGAGCTGGTTTTGAGTTTTGTGAATTATGGATATTGAACTAGTAACAGTAATTGACTTGCTAGAATTTAGCTCTAGTTGATGTCATGTTCCGAGTAACTTCAACATTCCCAAATTTAGTATATATTGAGTTGCCAAATTTTAGATGACCTTTTATCAGATGATGCTTCTCATTTTAGTACAGCTTTGTACTTCTTGCTATTTATCTCTTGTTCAGTTTTGTACCTTCACTTAGAAATTACTAATTATTGAGTTATAACTATTTCTTCTTCTTTGGTTATAATTCTTTTTTTGCTTTCATAGTACGATCATGTGGCACTGAAAGAGGACATGTTAAGAGAGAGAGAGAGACATTTCCAAAGCAGTGAAATTGATATGAAAGAACAACTCAGGAATTGTAACGTGTGTGCCATCCCATGTTCATGTTGTATGCATTCCAAGCAAATGACATCTCAATGAATAAACAACTGATGAATTTTTTGATGCCTGAAGAGAGAGGATGTTTGTCGGGGTTTTTCTGGTAATGTTGATATGCTGTCGCCATCTTTATGTTATGCATGAATGGAGGCATCATACAAGCAGTGAGACAAGCAACCTCTTTAGTGCATGCTCAAATCTAGTGCAGGGTGTGACGGATGATGTGGTTAAAGATCCTCCGGAGTCACAGCCTGTTGACCGTAACAAGGTATCTGATTCTGCAGAGATTGAAGTAAGTACCATTCCTATCCCTGATATTACAATTATGAACATAGTAGTTGGTGTACATTTCTCGAACATGGCACTTGGTGGAACTATTGGAATTTTTAAAATACAAGAGACCATAGGAAAAACTTTAACAGTTATGAAATGTAGACAGTGTGTTTTTGTTTAACAAATAGTGAAGGGATCTTTAACCGGGAATGAAACGAAAGATTTAGTTTTTACTTGATACCTGGGTGGTTTTTAACTGTGGGGTGACCTCTTGAGGTTGTCTAGATTGTGGTTGGGATTCCTGTGTTGCAACTGCTGCCTTTTCGTAGTGCCAAATGGAGTATCAGGTGGATGGCAATGGATTGATGAATATTTTGTATAATAGGATAACATATCACTAGTTAAGTAAACTAAAACTTAGATTATTGACTACAGTTAGTATAATAAGCATGTATTTATTGTAATATTTATCATTATAACTGTAATCTGATAGAGATTCAAGGTAAATTGCCATTATAAATGAAGTCGTGCAATGCCATAATGTTTTAATTGTTTTGTGATAGACCCCCTGTCATATAGTCTATAAGTCAAGGGGCAGCACAAGAGTAAAGGCACTAAGGGAAAAGGTGTGTGAGTGTGGATGGTTACAGCAAGGGAAAAGAAGGGTGAAGTTGTTACAGTTTGTTACGGGATTCTCATGCATGTGGATGGGTAGAATAAAGTTGTTAGGGAGGGTAGTATAGAAGTAATTGGGTATAAATAGCTAGGTTGTGATAAGGGAGGTATCAAGTTGAATCATATGGTTTGTGGGAGGTCTCTAGCTCCTCGAATTGTTGGAAGTGGACTGGAATCACTTTTCTTGCTACTGTTATTCTTTTTGTTTCAATATTAATCTTAGTTTTATTCCTTTGAGCTTTATTTCCATACAGTTCTTGGTGTGTGTTGAATTGAGTTATTTGAGCAAGTGGTTCCATCAATTTGGTATCAGAGCCTGGTTGGGTAATGGTAAAGTCCAAAAGGAGAATAGAATGGAATGTGGAAAAGGAGATGAGGAATGTAAAGGAAGACATGGGCATAATGAAAACTGATTTTGGTGTGTTAAGGAGTACTTAACAGAGATGAGAGAATTGATGAGACTAAGGGAAGAAAGGGAGGAAAAACGTCACCTGAAGAAAATGTAGAGACTC